TGCCGGTCCTGGGGCTAGTTTTGTTCAATATGTTCATCAATGACCTGGAAGATGGCAATAGAGCGCACCTTCAGATGCCACCAAGCTCGGGGGACTAGTAGATACACTGGAGGGTAGGGCTGGGATTCAGAGAGGCCTTGACGAATTGGAGGATTGGGCCAAAAGAAATCTTATGAGGTTCAATAAGGACAAGTGCAAAGTCCTGCACTTAGGAGGGTGCAGGCTGGGGGTGACGGGCTGGGCAGCAGCCCTGCAGAAAAGGACCTGGGGGGGACAGCGGACAGTAGGGCTCTGGAACGGACTCCCAAGTGAGGGGGTGCTTTCTCCTACGTTGGGGGTCTTCAAGAGGAAGCTGGACAGAGAGTTGGCTGGGGTGTTATGACCCCGCGCTCGTTCCTGCCCAGGGCAGGGGTCGGACTTGATGCTCTGTTTAGGTCCCTTCTGACCCCTAAGCACCATGAAACTATAAGCTGAACGTGAGCCAGCCGTGTGGCCTTGCTGCCAAGGCTAATGGCATCCCGGGCTGCATCGGTAGGAGTGTTCCCAGCAGGTCAAGTGAGTCTTCCCTCTGTTCAGCATCGGGGAGGCCACATCTGGAGTCCTGTGTCCAGTTTTGGGCTCCCCACTACAGAAAGGATGAGGACACATTGGAGACAGTCCAGCGCAGGGCAACAAAAATGGTTGGGGGGCTGGGGGACAGCTTATAAAGAGAGGCTGAGGGAATTGGCCTTTAGTCTGGCAAAGAGGAGACTGAGGGGGATTTGATAGCAGCCTTCACCTCCCTGCAGGGGGGCTGCAAAGAGGATGGAGCTGGGCTGTTCTCAGTGGGGGCGGACGGCAGGACAAGGAGCAATGGGCTCCAGCTGCAGCAAGGGGCGTTGAGGTTCGATATCAGGAAAGACTCTCTCACAGGAAGGGCAGTAAAGCACTGGGACAGGCGACCCAGAGAGGTGGAGGAGTCTCCATACTATGCCCAGTGCCTCCAGCTCAAAGATGGGAGATCTTCAGGTCCCGTCTCCACTGCGTTTTCTGTCAGCTGCTACCAGCGCCGAGAGGGTTTGTGCCCCGAGATCAGGAGGAAAGACAGTAGCGGAAACAAGCAGCCCCTCTCGGAGGTGCTTCCTGCCTCTGCCAGCCTGGCCGTACCCACAGCAGAGAACGGAGCCGACGCACGTAACGCCGCCGTTCCTGAGTCACGGACATTTCCGATCGGGTCCCACGCGAGCAATGGGCAGCCCGGCTCTGGCTGCGTCCTCTCTTCCTGAGCACTTTGGGATACAAAGCGGCAAGCTGTCTTCGGTTTAACTGCCATTAATTGCCATCTGCTACCAGGACGGATGGTGAAACTCTGCCAGGCGCACGCAGAAGAGCACTCGCTCTGCAAACTGCCCGACGGGCCTCACAACTTCATCTCCTCTCGGAGCAAACGTCCAGGGAAGGAGCCTGGGTCCTCGTCCCGGCCCCAACTCATCACACCGATTTGGGAAATCGGTGGCTTCGGACAATAAATCCCCTGATAGGAAGGCCCTGCCCCTCCCCCATGCCCTCGGGGGCTATAAAGCCCCGGGGCGGCAGGAGCGCCCCCTC